TAGGGGAAACGAAATTAATGCCAATAGAGAAATTTGCTAGGGCTAGCACACTTGGTTTTAATTTATTTATTTAGTTGCACCAACAAAGTGATCGACACACCAAATTAACCTTAACATATATGAGTCGACTAGTATCAAAGCCGGCAATGTGACTTTTGGACAATTATTGGTAAATCAGAAAAACGAATTATTGACTTTGTATTCCATTGGCAGCCACAAAACTCTTCTGAACGACATCTTAGATAAATAACAGGTTAAGTATTAACCTTTATTTAATGCAGGTTTTGAACCGTATTCTTTGAAGGAGACGATTATATTCAAATCAATCTGTATTGACATACCAATAACATTTTTTTTTCCAAATGCACAGATTGCCACCTTTGATAATAGACCACTCATATGTCGGCGCAAATATGACTATTTACCTACCTGTCGCCGCAAATATGTCTATTTACCTACCTATTATAAAAATAATAATGATTTAATGTGATAATCGGATAATCTGGTCATCAACTAATTACTCTGGGTTTGTTAAACAGTCCCTTTTATTGTAATTCCAATACTTGTAAAAACTTGTAAACACGCTGACGTGTGCCAAGCCCTATAAATACGGCCGTACTATCTAGCGCTCATTCATTCAGCTCAAGCAGCTCACAAAGTTCTCGTGAAGTTTTGTTTCGGAAGCCCAAACATGAGTCATCGTCAACAAAGCAATAACCGTGACGTCAGCAATGCTGACGTCATACTTTTTAAAAACGTTCCTTTTGTATCTCCCCCGACATATATAATATATATATATGTATGTCGTGGATAACGACTTTTAGTTGTCGTGGATAACGACTTTTAGTTGTCGTGGATAACGACTTTTAGTTGTCGTGGATAACGACTTTTAGTAATATTAAGACGGTGGTTTTGATTATTATTTTAAATGATGAAATGTTGTTTTGATAAATATCACAAAATGAAGGGTAGACTCCGTAACGCCACAGTATAAAATGGCGGTACGTGGACAGAGTCGTGGCATTCCGTGTCNTAATATTAAGACGGTGGTTTTGATTATTATTTTAAATGATGAAATGTTGTTTTGATAAATATCACAAAATGAAGGGTAGACTCCGTAACGCCACAGTATAAAATGGCGGTACGTGGACAGAGTCGTGGCATTCCGTGTCAGACAGTAATTCCGTCCGTCTCAGTCAGTGAGTCTCTGTCAGTCAGTCAGTCGGTCAGTCGATCTGTCAGTATGTGCAACGAAACTGTCGGTTTATCCTGTCATTGTGAAAGTTGTGTGTGTTGAGTTTCAATAATTATTATTCAAAAGGTTTTATTGACTTTTTATAAACTGAGTTCAACCAAATACGAGTGATGACTGAAACTACCGTTCAGCCATCCCTGACGTGTGCCAACATATATATATAAAGATTTATGTTACGCTAAATTTACACTCTTGGGAAATGTACACTTTTACCTGTAAATGTGCACATTTGCCAGAAAGTTAAGGTATATATATAAGGTAAGTAAAAGGTATATGTGTACTGAATATAATGTATATGTACATTTCCCGGCAAATATGTACTCTTGCCTTCACGTTTTGGTAAATATATACTCTTACCTTCATGTTTTAAGAAAAGTTGGAATACAAATAAATTAATAATGTTGTTGCAGTAAAAAAATATTTATTTAAATAAACATAACACGAAAGGCTTTAATGGGGTCTTTTCGTCGCCCATACCACAATGTCTGAAGACAAAGGTCTATAATCAGTGCGTCCTATCTGTGCTTACCTACGGAGCCGAAACGTGGACACTGACTGTGCGACTAGTCCACCAACTAAAAGTTACTCAGCGAGCTATGGAGCGAGCTATGCTTGGTTTGTCATTGCGAGACCGAATACGCAATGAGGTCATTCGGGCAAAAACCAAAGTGATTGATATAGCTCGCAGAGTTAGTAAGCTGAAGTGGCAGAGGGCTGGTCACATATGTCGCACCGATAACCGTTGGGGTAGACGTGTTCTGGAGTGGAGACCGCAAACCGGCAAACGTAGTGTAGGACGCCCTCCTGCTAGATGGAGCAACGACCTGCGCAAGGCAGCTGGCAGTAACTGGATGCGTATACCCGGAGATTGGGTTCAGTGGCGAGCTTTGAGGGAGGCCTGGTCCAGCAGTTGACTGCCGCAGGCTGATGATGAAAAGACTTTAATAACGAAAATTATTTTAATTAAAAAATGTAGACAAACAAAACATACTTTTCTTTGCATATTATATAATATTTCGTAGGTTAGGTTTGGTTGTAGTGGTTACATTACTAGGTTACATTATTAGCACTTGCCATTTCTTATTTTGTATGCCATGCTCACATTTACCAAAACGACATGGTCATTGTGAATTCAATGTACATTTTCCTTCTTTGAAATTGTAAATGTTAGTTGAATGGACATTACCCAAACGAGGAGGCAAATGTGCACATTTACCGGAAAATGTGTACATTTGCCGCAATATCTACTTTTACCGTAACATATATATTTTTTATCTGGGCTGAGAGATTAGGCCGGAGGCGGGAATACGCCTGTACGTCCCGGACCCTGTAGGTAGCGGCCTCCCCCCGGTGAAGGTCAAGGGGCGACCTGAGGGGGTGAGGCCGCGCGGCGCGCTACCAGCACTCTAGCGCGCTGCCGTGGAGTGAATAGAGCGACCGGTCGACGGTGTATCGCGTCCCGACCCGGCAGGCTGGTTCTGGTCCAGCGGGGTATTCCGGGACACCAGCGGCACCGTCTGGGCGGCNGATCGAAGTTTTACTTGAGATTTGCACTTGCCTTAATTTCTTGCAATAGCTTGTTACGTGTTGTATTTCCGTTAGTAAATGCCATGTGATGAAGTCGACAGTCAAACTGGGCAACATGAGCCAGAACGTAAGATGTGACGATTTCTTCGTGGCTCAGATCTTCCATCGAGGTAACAGAGACGTTATTACACGACTTACGTATGCTGCTTTCACGCTCTTGTGGCGTACCACTACTAGTATTCTGATCTGCATCATGTTTTTTTTTGCTGTACTTCGAACATGTTCAAACACGTCACGCCAGTGAGAGTAGAGTCCTGATCTCACTTCTGATGTAAGCTTGAAGGTAGACATTATCTTATTGAACACCAAGTAAAACGATGTCACTTTTTGATTCCTGATTTAATCAACAATATTTTATCTTAACAATTCACTTTAACACTTGTCCAACTTTAACCAGTACGTACAACAGTCACTGAATCACACAACGTAACAAGGATATAGTAAGTGCACCGGGCAAACGCAGTCCAACGAATGTTCATTTCATGGCACGTTCCGCCTTTTTATACTAGCCGGCGCAGCTGGCTTATGAGTCACTTCTGTTGCAGCTGTTGTTTACGAGTGGAACGACACGGCCGGCGCGCCTGGCTTGTGTGAGTCACTCCTATTGCACGTGCTATATAACATAAATATCGTTAACGCCGTCATATATACATATTATTATTATTCTACAAAAATTTTAACTGATAATAATATAAACACTGCATTAATAATTAAATAAAAGTTCTCTACAAAAACATCATGAATAAACTAGATTCTTACCAACACGTTTAAAAAAGATTGTTATGAACTACGTAAACAACCCTACCAACATGTACCTATAAATATCTTTTATTTTATTGCTTTGATAGGTGGACGAGCTCACAGCCCACCTGGTGTTAAGTGGTTCATAGACATCTACAATGTAAATGCGCCACCCACCTTGAGATATAAGTTTTAAGGTCTCAGTATAGTTACAACGACTGCCCCACCCTTCAAACCGAAACGCATTACTGCTTCACGGCAGAAATAGGCAGGGTGGTGGTACCTACCCGCGTGGACTCACAATAGGGCCTACCTACCTACAGTAATTACGCAAATTATAATTTTCTGGGTTTCATTTTTATTACACGATGTTATTCTTTCACCGTGGAAGTCAATCGTGAACGTTTGTTGAGTACGTATTTCCTTAGAGATATATATAAAAAGATTATAATAATAATAATATTTTTTTTTAAAAATTGTATTTTTAATATATATTTTTTAAAATATTATGTAACTAATAAGATTTTAAATAAATATAAATAAATAATAATAATTATTATTATTATTTATTTATTTCTCTCTTAAAGGTATAGTACAAATACAAATGGAAATTATCCTTATAATTTATTTTGTAAGCCTTTGAAAGAGCTGATATATAATAATATATAAATATATATATATTGTAATACTTAAGTCATTCCCATTCAACTTATTCTCATCCCAATTGACCCTTTTTTCGTTGTTATTTATACCTGAACCGTCCCTATTAAGCCCGAAGACAACTGATTTTTACATGTATTTCTATATTATCAAAAAACATTAAAAGCAATAACAACTGAGACTTATCCTTAATATATATAATGGCCCAAACACTAAATAACGTTTATAAATCACAGTCGTCTTCTATTATTATCAAATAAATAAAAGCTAGTAAAGTTTCTAGCACTAAAATAATTAGCACCACAAAAGTTAATTTGAAATGCGATTTTTTAAAAGCCAGCAGCTATTGTCATGCATATTCAGTTCAGTTCAGTTGCTTTGTGAACGTTCAACATTACATTACAAAAAATGGAAGATTTTGCAACGAATATGAAACTAATATTGAGCGTCGAAAGATTATCCTGGGTTTTTCCCCCATTCACCTCTCAATCCCTAATCAGCCCGTTTTAGGGTACTTCCTAATTTTTTTTGTATGATAATCGGCTTCTTTTTGCTTGCTGTACTATACTCTGGAAATTAGTAATAATGCAGTAATAATTCACTAGTAGACTTTTTGACGGCTACACGATAAGCGAAATGGAATAAATTGTTTTATTTTGGAAATTTTATGCTTTTTCTTTTTATTAAATATGCATTAGTAGTGACTCATCCATAATAGCCGGCTAGCATCTATGAAAGTGCACAAGTGAGATAAAATAAAAATAAAACACAAGTGTTAGTAAATTGTCATCATTTATCCGGCACTTAATTTTATCTCATCTGATTTCATCTCGTTTTATACCATAATTTTTTTACGAATTAAAACAATTCAATCTAAGTAATTGTCACTTCCGATCGAATTATTTTATAAACATATGTGTTTGTAATTATTGTGTTGATTGCAGATTTTATGAACCCGACACTAACAACAATATGTACGTAAGAAGTAAAATTTGAAACAAAAAAAAAGATGACCTATTTTGTGATAAAACTTAAAACCGAGTGCTATAATAAAATGCATGTTAAATGCAAATGCGATAAATTCACTGAAAAAAATAGCTACTGAATTTGTAATAAAACTGAGATAGACTAAAAGGTCCATTATTAATTTATTTTGATTACTGGACTTTTTATTAAAATGCAAATATTAGATTCAATTTGAGTAAGTTGGATGTAGTGATATCAATTTACTCTTTACATTACCTATACCAAAGACCGAAGTAATATTAACGATCTATGGACTCTCAATTCTCAAATATTATCTATGGAATAATCTATGGTCTCTATGGTTGAGGTTGAGTGACACCAAAATATATTAATTAATGTCGATCCATAATACATACTTTTTACTAAATAAAACATAAATCTAGTAAACCTATCAACCTGATCACAATTAATATTAATATTTGTGTGTGATATAGATTCAGTGAAGTGGTACGAAAGGATTAGGTTTACGCCTGAGAAATGACGCGGATGTGTAAAATATATTCTCAATATGGCCGCCAAATTGTGTTCTTAATTCCCGGTTGTTTACAGCGGCTCAAAGAACAATTACTTTTTAAGTAAATTTATGATATTGAACGAAATTAAGTGATGAACAGGTGTTTTTCATTTATACCTGAAGTGTGAATTAAGAATTTTGTGACTAGATAATAAAAAATCAACAGTTTTGAAACAAAAAAATTTATATTTGTAAGATTAATAAATTTTGAATCGCGATGTCACAATATGAACGCCCACGATGATTTTACTGCGGCTCCGAACTTCGGTGCAGCCCCACAACTCATGGTATGTTCTCCTCTTAACATATTATATTTTATGAGTTAACTCTAGTATCGCAGATCGTAAGACTGCTACAACTTAACACACAATGTCTTTGTAAGTACAAGCTTCTTGAAGATAAACTAACAATACTGATGCTCTTATTTTATTTGTGTGTGGTTTATCTTGGAAGTAACAAAATCCAAATACAAATCAAAACTTATTGTTCGATTGAATTATTCACTGTATTTTTTACGAAAAATAAACTTAACAATTAATTACATGCCTTGAAGGATATTATTATTAACATGAAAATTACTTTTTAAGTACTATACACAAAAAAAGGTTTCTAACCTAAAAAGTAGTAAAATAAAAACAGTGATTCGATAAAATATTTTGTTACTATGGATTATAACAATAGGTGATTTGTAGCTAGAATATCACTGTCAATCTTTTAAAGTGACTAAAATGCTGGTTGATGTCAATGTTAGTAGTGAATTAGGGGACTTTGGAAATTATTTTTAATGTAATATTTTGAAAGCTTTGAGATTTCTAAGGTTGAGTGGTTGGTACTTCGCTTAAATTCTATCCCATATTTTATGTGCAGAGGGGTTTTAGAATAGTTTTATATAAATTGGCAGCTTATTATCCCATGATAGTTTTGATTTCTTACTCAGGACCCTACTTTGCTACTCTTGCAAAATTGTTTGTTTCATTTTAGTTTTGAGTGGGGTTTCCAAGTGAAGCAGCATTCTAAATGTATCCCAAGATACCTACTACACAAACTGGGATTGAAGAAGAGCCTCTCTAATATAACATGCAATAATTTGGAAGCATTTGCTTTTATTGTTTAAGTATACATCCAGCAACCAGTTTGTTTTGAAGGCATATTGATACAGTGACTGAATCATTGGTGCAAAATGAGTTGTATTATCACAGTAGGATGTAATAGTAGTTTCGTTTGATTGAAGGAAATTAGATGTGAGTAATGAGTAGAACAGAACTAGCCCAAGAGGGCTAGTTCTGTTCTACTGTAATTATGACCAGAGTACCTTCTTAGGTACTCTGGTCATAATTAACTGCAGATCAAAAACTGCTTGTCATACTTAAAATATTTGCTTGGAAAAATAGTTTTAAAATTGAAAAGTATTTTGTATGCATACAGATTTTATGTTGGAGAAAACTTCTTTACATTTTTTTTTCCTACTTAAGCTGGTAGCCTTGATAGGCTATTCCAGCGTAACCTTAACTAGTAGGTGAGCTCACGGGGCTCAAACCTGACGACGTTGCTAACACGAACCCTAGCAAGAGCCGTGCTTCGCAGAATCTACCACCGGACCGGAAACGCGACCCACTGAGAAGATCCGGCGAGAAACTCAGTGGGCTGTGTCTGAGGGTTAATTTACTCGTCGAGCCCTTCGTCGCAAGCGACGGGTTCGACGAGAACGGTGACCGGTGCTTGAAGTACCTAAAAGCACCGTTAGTGGATCGGGAGGATCCGAAATGACGTGTTTTGGGCGACGTCGACTGCTTTCCATTCTTTCCGCAGGATCGGGAATGTAGTTTCCGGCGGCCACGATGAGAGGGTTCTCGTGTCGTGCCGCTTTATCGAAGTGGCGCATCGACGCCGACTGCATATACTTACTGGTGGACTCTAAGTCCAGGTCGTCATGGAGGTCGACGTTCCTGACGAACCACGGGGCTCCGACGGCTATCCTGCAAAAACGGGATTGAATGATATGGAATGATTTTAAGTGAGTGCGGGCCGCGTGAGCGAACACTACACTTGCATAGGTCATGACGGGGCGTATGCAAGTTTTGTAGAGTGTCACCTTATTTCTAAGGGACATTTTACTTCGCCTGCATATCATCGGGTAGAGACGTCCTAGTTTGAAGGCGACACGGTCGCGTACCGTCTTTATATGGGGGCGGAATGTAATCCTTCTGTCAAGGGTGACGCCTAAATATTTGACCTTCGGGGCCCACGGTATGGGCTGGTCGTACATCGTGATTGGGCGAATGGTGGAGGCGGAGGTGTCGACGCGCCTAGACGGGACAGGGATGCTCAACGTGGTGTTCGGAGGGCGACCCCTTTTGAAGAGCACCGCTGTGCTTTTCGTGGGGTTAATGTCGATGCGCCACTTCCGGAACCACTGTCCCATGATGGTAGCTGCGGTCTGAAGTCGCCGATGAAGCAACGCCTTCTTCCTACACGAGTAGTAGATGGCCGTGTCATCGGCGAAGAGGGCCAGATGGGTCTCCGGAGATCGGGGTGTATCATTGATATACGAACTGAACAGTAACGGGGAGAGGGCGGAGCCTTGCGGGACTCCGGCTGTGACGTGCTTCTTTATATAAAAAGTAGGCAAATGGTTATTGAGTGTCCAGAAATTCAGCAGAGCAGTTTCCTTTGTTTTGTAGTGATTCTTTGATCTTATGGCAGTAGCTATTTCTTTGTTCCATTGTAAAAGCTGAGTTAAATTATTATAAAAAGTACAACAATAGTATGAACTATGTTGTACTTTAAAATTGAGACTTAGAACTCAGGTCTAGAGGTGGATGGTTCTACTTATGTTGTTGATATCTATAGACTACAGTAACCACTTAACACCAGTTTGGCTCAGGACTTGACAATAAAAAAATACTATTTTCACTGTGTATGCATTTTGTATGTACTTAAGGAAGACATAAATAATTTTTTTTATTTACTAGGTGGTGAAATCAGCATAAAATTAAGCTAAGCATGTTCAAAATAATGTTCCCTGGATCTAAAGTTTGTAATTAAAATACTTGTACAGTCTACAGTATTATGTTGTGTTTTCTATTATAACTATATTATTACTTTCATTGTTTAGAATAGTTTATGTGGTCACAAACAACTAAAATGCTATTTATCAATATTTCAATATTGTCAAAAAATAGACTTTTACGTTTCATTTCACACTTAATAAACTATCAGTATCCAGATACTGCAAAAGGATTTTTACTTAATGATTTCTATGACTCGTGAAAACTAGAAAATCTTAAATAGTTTATAATGGTCAGTGTGCTTTGTGGATATTTCACCAGGGTCTGGAACCTGTCAACCAAATGGAACATTTGTTATGATATCATTGCTAAGTGAATTATTTGCATAATCCAAAATGTTAGAAAAAGTAATAAAGCTTTACATCACATTTATTAGTAAGGGATTAACCTGATCTGAAGAGTGTTAAAATCTTTAATACTTCAGGAAAGACTTCTACATTCTACTTAATACCTACTTACCTTTGCCCGTGTTATAAATTAAGCTCTTAACGCTTAGCTAAACTATAACTCTTAAAGCTTATGTAAATAGTATTGTCCCGTAATCATTTCATAGTTAGTAAAGGAACAAAATATATATATATATATATATATGTATTTCAATAAAAAGTTCAATTTCAATAAAAAAATCAACAATATACAGGTTAATGAATAATTTCATAGATTTTGAGTTCTAATGATTTAAAACTAAATAGAAATACATCAATGGTAGTTTATTATTAATGTAATTTATGAAATAACAGAAACAAATTTAAAGTTGATGTATTTATATTGATTTGGCATGTTTATATATTATTACATTTGTAGTGCTAAATGTGTGAAATATTACAGGGTGTGGAGCGCGTCGGCAGCTGCATGCGCGCTATTAATGGCGGCGTGGGAGCGGGCGCGGCCGAATCCGATCAACATGTCGCAGATGAACCGCCGCGCAAGAGAGCGCGAGCTGCCGCTCCCGCCATCACCAGCCCGCACGACCTGCGCCACGCCCTCCTCGACGCGCAGCTGCTGCGTCTGCGCACTCTGCGCGACGCCTTCACCGAGCAGCTTAGCGAGCTCTACTTTCTGCAGGCAGGCGGTAACATGATGGACTATGCGGCGTGGCGGCGGCAACCGCCTGCCCCCGCTCTGCTCGCCTTTCTGGAGTCGCGCCGACCCGCACCACCTCCTTCGGATTTACCACCTGCACCCATTGCCGCGCCTCCTATCACGCCTGCCGACGAAGTAGTAGAAAAGGCTAAACAAGAGGCGTACGTGGCGCGACGCGTGGCCGAGCTCGCTCGCGCCGGCCTCTGGTCCGAGCGGCGACTTCCGCGCGTGCTGGAACCGCCTCGTCCCAAGACTCACTGGGACTATCTACTCGAAGAAATGGCGTGGCTTGCCCAAGACTTCGCTCAAGAAAGAAAATGGAAGAAACAGGCCGCTAGAAAGGTTGAACACTGTTTGTCCATCTTTAATAAATAGCGAGTTAAGTTACGACAAAATCTTTAGTACTAGTGCAAGCGGCGACAGTCATTGTATAAAACGGTTTCAGTGCGCTCGAGCTGTCCAAAAATATTTTCAAGATAAAGCTCTGGCGGCGCAAAAAGCAGAGAAGGCTCAAGAAATGCAATTGAAAAAAATTGCTGCATTTGCTGCTAAAGAAATAAGAACTTTCTGGTCCAATGTTGAAAAGGTATGTAAAATAAAAAAATATGTAATTAACAAAGTTTTGTGTCTTACAATGTGACCAATGATAATCAAAATGAATATATAATTTGACTATTTTATTAGTTGGTAGAGTGGAAGCGAGTGCGACGAGTGGAGCGAGCACGAAAAGAAGCTTTGGACGAGCAGCTGAGCTACATCGTCGACCGCACCGAGCGGTACTCGCGCCAGCTCGCGGCCAACCTCGCCTCCGCGCCCGCCTCCGAGCCCGCCTCCGCGCCGCCCTCCGACCCGCCCTCCGACGACGAGTTCACGCCGCGCGGCGCCTCCGACGACGACGAGGAGACCATCGCCGCCGCAGAGCGGGAGGCCGGAGACGACGACGCCGCGCACCGCGCCGAGCTCGAGGCGCTGCAGCGGGAATCCAACCTCGAGCTCGACGCCCTGCTCCCCCCGGGATACCTCCCCGAGCGCTCGCCCCCGCCCTCCGACTACGCGCCCGACGACGACTCTGCCGACGACGAGACCACCATCGCGGAACAAGAACGCAAAGAGCGAGCTCTGGACGCCGCCGACGAATTGGACGAGTTGAAAGCCGACGCCGATCTCGACCTCGACGAATTGCGTCGTAGGTACTCTCGTCCACCGGAAAACGAAATCGATCTTTCCGATTCCGCCCCGGGAGAGCTGTCCGACGATGAAAACACCACACAGACAGACACCGAATCGGAGGCGGATTCGATGTCGAGTTCCGAGCCCCTCGAGAGTCTCGTTCGCGCAGAACAAACTGCCGGAGATTCGGAGCGGCGCGTGGAGGAGGCGGCTTCCCTGGCGGCCACGCTGCAGCCCACCGGCACCACGCTGTCCGAGACGGCGGTGGGCACGGCCGTCCCGCGGCTGCTGCGCCACGCCCTGCGCGAGTACCAGCACGTGGGCCTGCACTGGCTCGCCACCATGCACGCGCGGGGCCTCAACGGCATCCTCGCCGACGAGATGGGGCTCGGCAAGACCGTGCAGACCATAGCCTTGCTGGCGCACCTCGCGCTCGACCGCCACGACTGGGGCCCGCACCTCGTGGTCGCGCCCACTTCCGTCGTCCTCAACTGGGAGATGGAGTTCAAGAAATGGTGTCCCGCTTTTAAGATACTCACTTACTATGGTACTATAAAAGAACGTAAACAAAAACGTGTCGGCTGGACGAAAGCTAATTCTTTCCATGTCTGCATAACTTCCTACAAACTCGTTGTGCAAGATCATCAAAGTTTCCGCCGGAAGAAGTGGAAATATTTAGTGTTAGATGAAGCTCAAAATATTAAGAACTTTAAATCTCAAAGGTGGCAGTTACTACTCAATTTTCAAACAGAAAGGTAAGTTTCTTTATTTCCTATTTAATCATGTAGAAGTGTTTTATCCATAATGCATGATCTCCCTCCATTGTGATTGTCGCTAATTCTATCAAAAACCTCAATTGCTTGAGAGTTCATGTACTATTCTGATGTGTCAAAATTCATCCAGTAGTGCTTGCATGAAAGAGTTGCAAGCATTCCCATTTTTATATTAAGGTTGCTGTAGGCCACAATGCGCATTTAGGTAATGATTGATGATATAAATTTATAATTAACTAGCGACTCGCCCTCTCTACGCTTCGGGATTATTATTGATTTTATTGAATTTTCTCTCTCCATCTTTCATAATATCGCACACTCAGTTGTTTACAGTCATAACTATTCAATATCAAATGATATAGTGTAAAAGACAAAGTTTATCTACTTAAAATCGCATCAGATGTGATGAAAGTATTTATTTTCATATGAGGATAAATTTTTTGACTAGCAAATGTGCATTAGAAATAGATCATCTTTTATTGCCTTTATGGTTCACCATTTGGCGATAATGGCTTAACCATAAAAGAAAAATATATTTAAGCTGTCGCGAGCTTTTTTTGTAGGACTTTTTATTTTATTTTATTAGAGGTGTGGAAGAGCTCACAGCCCACCTGATGTTAAGTGGTTACTGGAGCCCATAGACATCTACAACGTAAATGCGCCACACACCTTGAGATATAGTTCTAAGGTCTCAATATAGTCACAACGGCTGCCCCACCCTTCAAACCGAAACGCATTACTGCTTCACGGCAGAAATAGGCGGGGCGGTGGTATCTACTTGTGCGGACTCGCAAGAGGTCCTATCACCAGTAATAAAGAACTATTTAAGATAAACATTTCCATAATATATTATAGACATCTAACTCTTAACGGTTTTGCAGCGCACGTCAGAATAGCTCGTAGATGAAATTTTTTTCTCCTACCTACTTTCCTACCTACCTACTGTGTTAGGACCTCATGTGAGTCCGCACAAGTAGGTACCACCACCCCGCCTATTTCTGCCGTGAAGCAGTAATGCGTTTCGGTTTGAAGGGTGGGGCAGTCATTGTAACTATATTGAGACCTTAGAACTTATATCTCAAGGTGGATAGCGCATTTACGTTGTAGATGTAGATTTGAATTTGAATTTGAATTTGAATTTGAACATCAGGTGGGCTGTGAGCTCGTACGTCCACTCATTTAAGCATTAAAAAAAAACAAAAAAAACTTATCGTTATATTTATAGCCTATAATAAGTTATTCTGATGTATAAGCTATATTACTGTATGTGAATTAATATATAAAAACTAGCTGACCCGCCAAACGTTGTTTTGCCATTTAAAAGATTTCTAAGGAATGTATAGTGTAGAAAAAAACGATCTTATTGTAAGTGTGTAAGGATGTGGTAAATGAGTGAAAGAGGCATGTAGCGCTGTGAACTATGAGGGAATATAATAATAACAAAACCTCATTCAACCACATAATGCCTCATTATAACAAAAAAAAGATGTGTGGTGTCGTGTGACACCGGATAGGAACGAAGTTCGTTATTATAAAAATATTAATTTTAAGTTCTATTCGAGGTATAAAGAAAATAAAACTGGAGGTTTCGCAACAATCCACGATCATTCTGCAACGTGCGAACTTATTGTGGTACACTTCATTCATTTGCATAAGAGTTAGTGTATTACGCAAACGAACGCTCTGAGATCGTGGTCAATGAATGATAAAAAAATATGTTATTTTTTGTACGTTGTTATAAAGTTAAGTCGTACACTGTGTGCATTACTAATAAAAATCTTACGTTACGGACGTTTTTTCCCGGTTAGGGTACCCCTCCGCATCGTCCCATAAGGAACGTCATTCCAAAAAAATAATTAAGGTTAGGGGTGGACAGCCCTTATCACTTAGGGGTATGAAAAATAGATAGTAGCCGATTCTCCGATCTACTGAACATGCATATAAAATTTCATAAAAATCGGTCGAACCGTTTCAGAGGAGTATGGTAACTTTTTATATATTAGATTTAATTAACAAATAAAAAATAAGGGATGATCGTAGAGGGGTAAAAATTTAGGGTTGTATGTATTTTTGTATGCTGTATCATAAAAAAATAAAAACAAAAAATGTTGTCTAAAAAATAAATAAATAAATTTAGGGGTGGACCAACCTTAACATTTAGGGGGATGAAAAATAGATGTTGTCCGATTCTCTACCCTGGCCGATCTGCACGCTAAGATTCACAAAAATCGGTCGAGCCGTTTCGGAGGAGTTCAATCACGCACACCGTGACACGACAATTATGAATGTTATAAATATTATAAATATTAGTAGGATATGTTATTACATTTTTATAATATGCAGCAAGAGAGAGAGAGAGAGAGAGAAAGCAATATTATAAGATATTATTATATTGTTCTCACAAGTTGTGAAGTGTATTCTCACTTTAGATAAAAAAAATTAAAGTTATTACAAAAATCTGCTTTTAGTACCAAAATCGACACTTTCAATATAATTAATTAGGTAGATCTAAATACTTTTACACGCTTCTCGACTAAGATAAAATATACCCTCTCAATAAAAGCCATTACACATTTTTTTGAAAGTAACTGTTTTTGTCATTGGACTTTTATTGTCATTTTTCACGTGGCACCTAGAACTGCTCCACCTCTGCCACTCCTGCGACCTTCGCTTATCTCGTATCTGCATTGTTCTGCTATACGCTCCTTCAAACTCTTGTGTGTTCTGTCATGACGATGAGTGAATCGTTGACAAGACACTTTCAACAGTCACAATGTCAAAAAGTTTAAATGAGAATAAAAGTTTGTTGATCAAACAGGCGGCTGCTGTTGACGGGGACGCCGCTGCAGAACAGTCTACTGGAGCTGTGGTCACTGATGCACTTCCTGATGCCGGACGTCTTCGCCTCGCACTCGGAGTTCCGCGAGTGGTTCGCCGAAGTGGGAGCCATGGCCGAGGGCGCGCGCTACGACGAGGCGCTGGTCCGCAGACTGCACGCCGTGCTGCGCCCCTTCCTGCTGCGCCGCCTCAAGCGCGACGTGGAGCGCCAGATGCCGCGCAAATACGAGCACGTGCTGCTCTGTCGCCTGGCCAAGCGCCAGCGCTTCCTCTACGACGACTTCATGTCGCGCGCCAAGTCAGTACCCGCCGCCCCTCTCGCCACTGCCCGTGACGCTCCTTGTACGATAACCGTGCGTGTTGTTCCCGCAGGACGAAAGAAAGTCTCGCTTCGGGAAACTTGCTGAGCGTCATCAACGTCTTAATGCAACTGCGGAAAGTGTGCAATCATCCGGACTTGTTCGAGCCGCGACCCGTGACCTCTCCGCTGCACGTGGGCGCGCTGCGCTACCGGGTGCCCGCCCTGGTGCTGGTGTCCGCCGTGCGCCGCCGGACGCTGTTCTCCGCCGCCCTGGCCGGCGACCTCGCCGCCCTCGAGTTGTCCGGCGCCGGCGCTTTCACCGCCCACCGCGCACGTCATCTGGCGCCGCCGAGACGAGCTTTCGACGAAGCGACGGACGCTCGGCGTCGACCGCCCCCGCGCCCACCGCCTGCATCGTTACGTTTACACTTGCGACTGGTGCCGCGAGTGAGTCCCGCGAACGCGCCCCCCCCGCCCCCTGTGGCGATGGCGACCGCGCGCCCGCCCCCCGCGCCCCGCTCGATCGCGACCGAGGCGGCGGCGCCCGGGAGCGCGGCGGCGGCGCGGCTGGCGGCGCGGCGGCGGGCCTGCGTGCGGCGCCTGGCGGCGACCAACGAGCGGCGCTGCTGGCGGCTGCCGCTGTACGGCGCGGACCTGCGCGCGGCGGCCGACGTGGGCGGGCCGCCCGTGCCGCCCAGAGACCTCACCGACATTCTGACCGAGCTCCACGATGTCATAGATAAGTACGTATGCTGTTCTTAAAATATTACGTACTGTTGTACAATATTAGATTGTGTTTGCTGATGGAGTATCCTGTTTATATTTACATTATATAATCGAAGCTAATGCGCGGGAAATTTAAATGTAATTAATGAAGGGGCAAGAGAGCTTCATTTACATGTATAATATTCATTTGTTATTTTAGTCATCATAACCAGAATGCTGATTTGATATTGTTAGGTTGACCCTAGTATCTAGTGCTCGCCCCCGGAGCACTCGGCTGAATGTGGAGCCTCGTTACAGGTTTAGCATATGTTGGATGTCGGCGCGAGCGGACGCGCTGCAGCTGGAGGCGGGGGCGGGCGCCGGCTCCTGGAGACGGCTCGCCGCCCTCATGCACGCCGCCCTCGCCCCTACAGCCCGCGCCGCCCTGGCCGCCCTACACGAGCCTGCTTCGCGGCAAGCCGTCGCCTTCCCGCATCCGTCTCTACTGCAGTATGACTGCGGCAAGCTGCAGACCCTGGCCGCCCTGCTGCGCCGTCTCAAGTCGGGCGGTCACCGGGTCCTCATCTTCACGCAGATGACTCGAGTGCTGGACGTACTCGAGGCGTTCCTGTCCATGCACGGACACACCTACCTGCGGCTGGACGGCGCCACGCGGGTGGACCGCCGGCAGCCGCTCGTGGACCGGTTCAACGCGGACGCCCGCATCTTCGCCTTCATACTGTCCACGCGCAGCGGCGGCGTCGGCCTCAACCTAACGGGCGCCGACTCCGTCGTCTTCTACGACTCTGACTGGAACCCGACCATGGACGCGCAGGCGCAGGACCGCTGCCACCGCATCGGCCAGACGCGCGACGTGCACGTGTACCGGCTCGTCACCGCCGCCACCGTCGAGGAGAACATTCTGCGGAAGGCAGAACAGAAGAGGACGCTCGGACATCTAGCGATCGAAGACGGAAACTTCACCACGTCCTATTTGCGCGGGGTGAGGCCGCTAGCTACTATAATAGAATTATTTTGTCTGTTCAGTTTGGGTCATAAAAAATCGGAGCGGTGAAGCGAATATTTCGCTCTCTCTTCCACTCACGAGCTTTATGGACGAGCTTAGTGATGCGCAGTATTGTTTGCGATAAGCGTTATCGATAGTGTATTTAGATTTGTCATTTTGTGCGCTAGTAATAAAAATGAAAGTAAAAATCACTAATCGAACACTTACACCTCATATCGCCGCAGCAAGTTAACGAGAACGGCAGAAATTAACACTTTGTAACTTTTCGGGATCTATTTTCATTTCAGTTCAAAAATTTAACACATTATTGATAACAACATATGCAAATATTATTTTGAATAAATCCTGCCGGTTTGGTACAAAACAAAGGAGTAGCCATTGTGTCACTAAAGAAATACAGAGAGCGAATGCATAAAAACACATTTCTCTTCGACATATTATGTACTATAATTTGCAGGTAAGCTCAACAAATGACTCATAAAATAACAATGTCTCACCACCCTTCGTATACCATCCGCCGCCGTGTACCTGCCTTCGATGACTCATTTGTTTTTGTCGATAATGACGTTCCGCCCGCGCAACATGCTCACCGCCCTAGTCGGGCTGTTTTATGACCCAAACTGCACCGACAAAATAATTCTACTATCGCTTGATTCAATATTAAAATGTCAGGTTACAGTTTTATCGTCGCGCTGTATAACAATAGCGATCTAGAAATTATACATTTTACTCGAAATAATAATTTTAAATGATGCATCAGGCGAACATCAAAGAGCTATTTGGCTCGGAGACGAACGTGGTGACGGAGGAAGAGGGCAGCGGCGCAGCGGCGGGCGGCGCGGCGGCGGGCGGCGAGCTGGAGTGCGCCCTGGCAGCCGCCGAGGACGAGGCCGACGTGGTGGCCGCGCGCGCCGCCCGCGCTGAGGCGCAGCACGACCTCGCGGAGTTCGACGAGTCGCTCCCGCTCGACGACGAGCCGCACGCCGCCGCCCGCGACCCGCACGTGGCGCAGCTCGCCGCGCTGATGATGCAGGTCAGTTCCTCCCCGTGCTCCCCGGGCTCCCGGGCGCCGACACGTCTACTCACTGCGCGTTCTGTGCACGTCACCAGCTCACGCCGATCGAGAAGTACGCGATGCGCGTGGTGGAGAGCGGCGAGGCGGCCAGCGAGGCGGAGCGCGCGGCGCTGGGCGAGGCGCGGCGCCAGCAGCGCGAGTGGGAGAGCGCGCGCCGCCGCCTGCGCGAGGAGGCCGCGCCGCCCTCGCCGGCGCTGTGCTACGCGCGCGCGGACGCCGAGGCGCAGGTGCGCGGGGCTCATACGCGGTCGCGGGGCGCGCTGCCGCTGGACCTGTGGGCGCTGGACGCCGCCCGACCCTAACAATAAACGATTTTATATACCGCGACCTGCGTTTTGTTTCTGACGTTCGGCCGTGCGGCGCCGCGCTCCCCGCCCCGGACGAACGTCAGACCCCGCGGGCGGCGAGCCGGCGCCCACTGTCTCCTCCCCGCATCCCTCACCCCCCACCACCACCGCACTCTCGGGAGCGAGATCTGTAACTTATCACTACTTGTCAACATAACCAACAGTGTCCTTAAACTTGACAATCTTTAAAATATATTAAGTTACATGATCGCTTGCAAACTAATTTTCAAATCATCATAAAAAAAAACAAATAGCTCTTTGCCGAACTTAGAAGGCTTAAAAACATTTCATTTAGCTAGTAGCTAGCAGGACAGTTTAAAGAGATATTCACGATTTAAAAAAATTAAAAAATACAAAACCTTACAACTGAGCCGGCACACAGAGTGACCGAGACAGACGCCGTACCTGAGGTCGTGTCTAAGATATTTATTTGATATTGTATGGCTTGAAGAGTCGCACAAATACTGACGTGACGGGTCGTGACGAGCGCACGGGGGACTCTTCACTTTCTTAATTGAAAGCACTTGTGCACTCTCATGAGACGACCCCCGCACACTGTTGTTGTTATTATCGATTTACGTTCGTTCGGCTGATATTTTTATTGAAGGCAAGTAAAAAACATCAACATTCTCATCTTGTATGCACTCCACTTCAGCAAGATTCTTTGTAGGTTCATGTCTTTCTTAGGCAGCCAAAATTAGCACAATGAAATCTTATCGCTTCAATGACGCTTCATGTCGTTCCTCCACAGATATGGATAAGCGGAGCAGAAGAACGCATGCCGGTAAGTGACGCCACGGTAGTCGGCGCCGCCCTCTGCGCCCTCGAGCTCATCCGTCCGCTCTCTTCGCAGATGTGGTGTCCGCCCACTCCGCCTTCCGGCGACGGTGACGTTTACTGTGAAAGCTGGGCGCGCGCACTCTACCGCCCCGGCGCCGCGCCCGACACCGTCCTGCCGCCCGCCCCCCGCCGCGAGCCCCGCGCGCTGCGCGACCAGCGCCGCCTCCGCCTGCAACCGAGACCCGCCGCCGCGCCGCCCTCGCTGTTCGAGCGATCCGGCCCGCGGCCTCGGCCCCGGCCTCGCGCTCCGGCGCACGCCCCGCCCCCGCCGCACGCTCAGCCTGATTGGTCTGCCGCCGAAGACGCCGCCTTGCGTCGCGCACTTCGCTTGCAGCGCTTACCCGCCGAACCTCCACCCGCTCTTGCGCCCAATTGGGACTGGGTCGCAGAACTCGTTAACGAGGCAGCTCGCGCCTTCCGCTCGGCGCGGGCGTGCCGCGACCGACACGACACCCTCGCCGACCCCGAGCGGGCCCGCCGCCGACACCGCCGCCCGCCCGCCGCGCGCCGCCGCCCGGACGACGAGCGACCCCGCCCTCCGCTGCACCGCCTGGACGCCGTCCGCGACGCCATCGAGAGGAGACGGTCGACACCCAAGCGGCGCCTCGACGACGCTCCGCACCGCAATCCCAAGCACGCCCAGCTGCTCGCCGACCACGGAGTTGCTTACGATACTCCGCCGACTCCGATGGAGGTGGCGGCTCGACGCGCCGACCGCATAGCGAGAGANCGAGCGACCCCGCCCTCCGCTGCACCGCCTGGACGCCGTCCGCGACGCCATCGAGAGGAGACGGTCGACACCCAAGCGGCGCCTCGACGACGCTCCGCACCGCAATCCCAAGCACGCCCAGCTGCTCGCCGACCACGGAGTTGCTTACGATACTCCGCCGACTCCGATGGAGGTGGCGGCTCGACGCGCCGACCGCATAGCGAGAGAGAAGCTGAAGGTGGGAGTGGCCACACCCGCCGCGGCCGCCGCCACCGCTCCCGCCCCCTCTCCTTCCCCGTCAGCGTCGGCAGTGGGTGCCGGGGTAGGGATGACTCAGCGCGTAGTGGTGGCGGCACCGGTGAAAGCGGACATGCGGCGCGCCCGCCCGACTGCCGTCGGGGAATCACCGCGACCCGCAGCCGTCTCTTCCGCCGTTACCGCCGCGCCTGCCGCACAGCTACTCTATCGTCAACAAGCCTTCCCCGCCAGACATCTCAAGATCCTCCATCAAGCCGTGCCACCTTCAATCCAGGTAATGCCCGCGAGTCGCGAACTGTGATAACTAACTAAGTAACTAAGATTGCGCCAGAACTGAACGCGTGGGTTTGGTCGGCAGGGCGCACCGAGCGGCGGCGAGGGCGCGGCGCTGCGCAAGCTGCAGCTGCAGCAGGTCCGGCGCGCGGCCTCGCCCCGCCCGCCGACCCCCGGCCCGGCGCCCCCCGCCCCCGCACACGTGGTGGTAGCGCATCTCGGGCCCTCGGCCGCGCGTCCTCCTCCCCCGCCCTCCGAAAGTAGACAATAAATATTAATGTTACACTTACCATCTTTGGCAGTTTTATTTCTAACCTTTTTCACATTATGAGTGCTCTTTGAAATATTACTAAACTGAATCTAATGGAAGACAGAAGAAAACAGCACCAGGGACGAGAACGAAGCCGGTCTCCTGTTTTTCTCACAAGATAACCTGTCTCGCTCCCTAACAGTTTTCGGGCCTTATACATTATAAACAATAGTTTGTGCATCGATCGTAGCAGTGACGCTTATTCATCTTGTCGGCGCAACGTCACTATTTAGTTAACTAAAAATAGTTAACTTTAACTGTTTAATTAATGTTACGCATGTCAACAACTTTTAAACAGTATTCAAGAGAATTCATGAATATAGTATAACAACCCCAACTTTCTGCTATAAACAGGAGTGACAATGGTCTCACAAAACATTCCGACTCGATCAGCCGACCGAGGCGGAGCTCTCTGTTGTAGTCGCTGTACATTTGAAATGTAAAAATGGAAGGCAATTGATAATGTTGAGGTGAATAGAATTATTTTAAAAACCATGGAACCAGTCTGATCCGTCGTAATTTTATCGTTTTATTTTCTCAGAGCAACTCTTATGTTGGTATAACCCCTCGAGGTTACCAGCATAGGTAGGTAAAAAAATAATAGTTAATAAACTTGTTTTCGTGAAAACGGGGCATTTTTATTCAATACGAAACTGAAATTTCACTCTTCTTATAAAACAATGTTAGAATATCTATTTATTACATTATTAAAAACTAAACTAAAGTGTGCGAGTGCGAGTGTGAGTGTGAAGAACAAGCACAGGGCGCGACGTGCACGAGCCTCAGGGCCTGGAACAGTCTCGCGGGTGCCTCGGCCGCGTCTCGCAGCGCCAGTGCGAGCGGACGCAGCGTGGCGCGCGCCTCCCGCAGTAGCACCCGTGCGGCGCGCAGCGCGGGCACCGCACACCCGCCCGCGCACTCCGCCAGCGCCGGCCGCACCGCGCCCTCCGCCACTTCGCGCACGCACCCTCCCACCAGAGACCACCATACCTCTAACGTGCATCTGACAAGAGTATGAGAATAAACTCATTAACCATTAAGAATTAATTGCGCACAAGCGTTGTTAGTAAAGCTAAATTAATTGTTGGTAAACAAAAATATTGGTACCCGCCTGCGGGGTCCGAACACCGGTGCATCGCCTAGATACGAATGCACTGGACGTCTTATCCTCGACGACCTGGGCCTCGAATCGATCCGAAAACACATGAAGTCAGCGTCAGAACGTTACTGTGATAAGCCTATGCGTCATGATAATCGCCTTATCGTTGCCGCCGCTGACTACTCCCCGAATCCTGATCACGCAGGAGCCAGTCAGCGTCGACGCCAATAACTCTTACATTAGAGGCCTTTAGCTCTAACACTAGGAGCAGGCTCGGGGACTCCAGGAACCGTACTCTTTGCAGAGTTCGATGTGCAACCTAACCCATGCATCAGCCCGCTGAGTTTCTCGCCAGATCTCAGCGGGTCGCGATTCCGATCCGGTAGTAGATTCATTCGCGAAGCAGCTGCTCTCGAGTTGTCAGGTCTCCTTCGGCGGCGCTCGAGCAGCTGTTAGCAAATCCCACCTCTCCTGGCTGAGCCTTTGCTCGCCCACCTGCCCTTATGAAACTGGAAAGGCCTCCGGGTCACCAGTAATCGTACAATCTTTAAAAAAAAATCTTATCCTTTGGGCCAAGACGACTTCATATATATATATCTTAGTATCAATGTATTTGTATGTTTGTTACTCAATCACGCAAAAACGGCGGAACAAATTGGATGAATTTTCGCCCAAGTATAGTTTGTAACCTGTATTAACACATGTGATATATTAATCATGGTAAATGACATGATCCTCGCACCGACTGGTATATCGTAGTAAATACGGCAGTTTATGCTCTGGTTCGTATTAGGCAGTCGATGAAACAGAGCTTGACAGAAGTAACTCTTTCTGAATTACAAATTTTACTCTAAGTGGTAGGGCATATTATAAACACAGTAAGCCTATGCGGGTAGGTACCACTATCCTGCCCATTTTAGACACGAAGCAGTCTTGGGCTTGAGACAACCGCTATACAATATAATTGAAACTCCGACGTATAAAGGTGTATGAATCTGCGCTGCGATGTCCTTGGACTTCGATCGACATTCGACCATTTGGACGTTTACCAGTCCATACAGCCTACGTTCGTGGAATACCGGCTACCAATGGCGCACAACGGACGCGTAAAACCCTTTTCGTTGAAGTTAGCATTCTACAAAGCGAACGGCCTCGCGCGCCAGCGAGATCAAATTTATGAATTCCTCCGCGATAATCTCATTGACATTTTATTGGTGCAGGAGACCTGCCTTAAGCCCTCGCGTCGTGACCCCAAAGTCGCGAATTACGTCATGGTTAGGAATGACAGACTTACCGCCCCCAAGAGCGGGACTGCCATTTACTATAGGCGGGCCCTGCACTGCGTCTCTCTCGATACTCCCTCGCTCTTACATATCGAGGCGTCAGTGTGCCGTATCTCGCTGACGGGACACCAGCCGATTGTCATCGCATCATTATACCTCCTCCCCGACAAGCCCCTCCTGAGCAGTGTCATCGAGACACTGCTCGGTATGGGTGACGCAGTTATTCTGGCAGGCGATCATAATTTCCACGACACTAGATGGAACTTGCATCGCACGAATGTGAACGATAGGCGTCTTGACGCGTTCATAGACGACCCCAACATGCTATCCGCACAGCAACGCGCTTCGTCCGAGCACAATAGATCTGGCACTGCTTAGGAACGTAACTCTGCGCTTACGCTCCATCAAGGCACTGTCAGAACTCGACTCAGACCACCGACCTGTCGTCATGCAGCTCGGTCGCCCGTTCAACCCTGACTCAGTCACGAGGACCATGGTGGATTGGAAGAAGCTGGGCACGTGCTTAGGTGATGCCGCTCCACCAATCCTCCCCTGCTGTCCGGATTCACGTTCAACCCCCGAGGACACCGTCGAATCCATAAGCATCTTGACCGAACACGTCTTTTCCGCGATCATAAGATCTTCAAAACAAGTCGATGTGGAGGATTGCTTCCACTGCATCAGACTCTCTCCCGAGCTTAGGGATCTCTTAAGAGTCAGGAACGTGGCAATCCGGGCCTACGATCGATATCCCACGGAATTAAACCGGATTCGGATGCGTCGTCTACAGCGGAAGTCAAATCCCGCCTAAACGACGCCTTTAACGTATATGCGACCTAATGTCGATTCTCATAACATTAATCTTTGCTGACCACTCTACGAAACATACTCTATGACTCCCCCGCCATATTGTCTACGACGTACAAGTTACGCGCTAGTAAAAACTGTATGTTTGTGATTAACAAAATAAAAATGTAAGCCCGATCGTAACGTTTGTCATTTATAAAGAACCCAAACATTACATGGTGTCAGAATGGCAACAAATAACAACGAAGCAGTCTCCGGTATTAAACCACCCGGATACTTGCACATCGAGTCGGACAACAAGTCGGCAAATTGGAAAAAATGGCGTCAACAGTTCGAATGGTATGCAACCGCAATTCAGCTAGGAAAGAAACCTGCCGATATTCAAGCTGCAACATTCATGTCAATCATAGGACCAGATGCAATTGACATCTACAACAGTTTTAATTTGAATACAATAGATGAACAAAAATTAAGCATCATTATCGGAAAGTTCGAAGAATATTTCGCGCCGAAAAACAACATATCGTTCGAAAGGTACGTTTTCTTCAAAATTGAACAACATGAAAACGAATCGTTTAACGAATTCATCACTAGAATTAAAACACAAGCAAACAAATGCGAGTTTGGCACTCTACTTGAAGAAATGCTGAAAGACAAGATTGTATTCGGAATAAAATCAACCCAAATCAGAGAAAAATTACTCACCGAAGAAAAACTTGATCTCACAAAAGCCACAGCCATCTGTAAAAGCAGTGAACAAGCCTCCAAACAACTTAACGAGTTTGAGAATAACAACAAGAGTGAAAAAATACTGACAATCAAAAGTAAGAACTTCAGAAATGAAAAATTTGACTGTAAAAGATGTGGTTCAAACCACAAGGCTAGAGAATGCCAAGCCTACAACAAATTATGTACAAAGTGTAACAAGGCCGGTCATTTTGCAAAAATGTGTCGTTCCCAAATCCAATTGAAACAAAAAAATAAAATAAATACTCTAGAAGAAAATTCTACTTCAGAAAATTCAGATGAATCATTTATAGGACAATTAAGTGTCGGCAACTCCAAAGACTGGACAGAAAGTGTCGAAACTGCCAACACCAAATTCACAGCAAAACTTGATACTGGTGCAGAGTGCAACGTCCTTCCAAATTTCATAGTACAGAAAACTCATGCTTGTATACAACCAAGTCGCACTAAAAATTTAATAAGTTATTCAAATAACAGAATTTCAGTACTTGGAGAAGTAAAATTACAATGCAAAATAAAAAAGAAAACTGCTAAAATATTATTTAAAGTTGTAGCTGAAAGAGTCACACCAGTCTTAGGACTAAACACTTGTGAGAAGCTGGGACTAATTGCTCGAGTTGAAACATTGAAAGAAAGCTCATCCAATGATGATTTTGAGTATGATATTGACCTCATAGAAAACCCCAAATTTGAAATAAAACCAACAAGAAAAGTTCCACATGCCATAAGAAATGAAGTAAAACAAGAATTAGATAGAATGGTAAAACTGGATGTCATCACACCTGAAACAGAACCGACACCAGTAGTAAGTCCGATGGTGGTAGTCAGACAAAAAGGAAAATTGAGAATATGCATCGACCCATCGGATGTGAACAAAAATATTTTAAGAAGACATTTCCCACTTGCAACAATAGAAGAGATAGCAGCAGACATCAAAGGATCAGAATACTGTTCCCTACTAGACTGCACCAAAGGATTTTGGCAAATTAAATTATCAAAAAGAACACAAAAGATACTGACATTTTCTACACCATGGGGAAGATATTCATTCAAAAGACTTCCATTCGGACTATCGTCAGCCCCTGAAATTTTTCAAGAAATCTTGACTAATCTTCTCAGCAAATTCAAAAATGTAAAAGTATCAATCGATGATATCTTTATTCATGCCAAAAAGAAGGAAGAGCTACAGAAAACGGTCAAAGAAGTAATAGAGACATTGAAAATTTCTGGCTTCAAACTCAATCAAAGCAAATGCATCTTTGAAGCCAAAAGAATAAAATTTTTGGGTCATATAGTCTCAGCCAAAGGTTTAGAAGCAGATCCTGAAAAAGTAAAAGCCATAGAATTTATGAAAACACCACAGAACAAAAAAGAACTGCAAAGGATACTAGGAATGATAACATATTTAAATAAATACATTCCCAACATGTCAGAATTAACAAACCCTTTGAGAGACCTACTTCACAAGGACACAAGTTTCAACTGGGAATTCTATCATGATGAAGCACTCAACAAAATTAAAAAAGTCTTACAGAATCCACCAGTGCTAAAACTATATGATGTAAACAAACCAGTCACACTAAGCGTGGATGCAAGCTCAAAGAATCTTGGTGCAGCACTTCTTCAGGAAGGCCAACCAGTAGCTTATGGAGCCAGAACATTGACTAAATCCGAACAAAATTATCCTCAAATTGAAAAGGAAGCACTTGCTATACTATTTGGGTGCAAAAAGTTCCATGAGTATGTCTATGGCAAAGAGTTATTAGTCGAATCAGATCACAAGCCGCTCGAGACAATATTCAGAAAAAACATTCAGTCAGCCCCAGCTAGACTTCAACGTATAATGCTCAACCTAACACCGTATTCACCAAAAATTACATTTAAAAAAGGCACAGAAATACCACTAGCAGACTTTTTAAGTCGTGATTGTGACACTTCAAAACTGAATGACTATCAGGAAGAAGACCTGAAGATCTCAATAATATTACCAACAACATTTGACTACACAGAAGAGTTGATCAAAGCAACAAAAGAAGACCCCCACCTGCAACTCTTGTTAAAAACAATAATGAAAGGGTTCCCAGAAAAGGCTGATCAACTCCCTACAGAACTGCATCACTACTTCAATTTCAAAGAAGAACTAACATACTTCAAAGGTCTAATTTTCAAAGGTCACAAAATTGTAGTGCCCAAAACACAAATACCTCAGATGCTAAAATACATACACCAAGGTCACCTTGGAATTCAGAGTTGCTTGAAAAGAGCACACCAATTACTCTATTGGAGAGGACAATATGAAGACATTGTGAAACTGGTTAGAAGCTGCTCAGCATGTGAAAAAACACAAAAGGACAATACCAACTATACCGTAGCAGTCAAAAGAATCCCATCTCTCCCATGGCAGATTGTGGCATCTGATTTATTTGAACTAAAAGGAAAACAGTATATTGTAATCTGTGACAGCTATTCAGGATACTTAGACTTTCAGTCACTTAAGAGCTCATCGTCAACTGAAGTGATTAATCACTTAAAACAATGGTTCTCTACACATGGAATACCTGAAGTACTTGAATCAGACAACGGTCCACAGTACATGTCCAGAGAATTCAAAGATTTCCAGAAAGAATGGCGTTTCAAGCACTCAACATCCAGTCCTCACCACCCCCAAGGCAATGGCTTAGCCGAAAGAGCTGTCCAAACTGCAAAAAACCTACTAAGGAAATGCAGTATTGATAAATCGGATATCCAACTTGCTCTATTAAATTGGAGAAATACACCAAGAACAAACAATCTAGGGTCTCCTAATCAACGCCTCTACAGTAGAATAACACGATCATTAATACCTACAAGTGAAAATAATCTTAAACCAAAGATAGTTCAAGGGGTCACATCTGAACTAAAGTACCTACGAAACAAACAAGCCAACCATAGCAACAAGCAACGTAAGGAGCCAACCAATTATGAACTCGACGACAGAAGCAGACACAAAGTCGGTCATCGTCAATGGGAAGGAGCGAGAGTGATAGAAAAACCTAATAATCACCCGAGATCCATTATTATTAAAACTGACAAAGGACAAATATTCAGAAGAAACATTGGACACATACACAATACACTATCAGACCTATCAATTGGCAGCAAAGAAGCGGTTCCGGAAACTGTATATCCTGACGACTTACCACATGCCCAATCGGACAAACAACCGGAGCTACCTGCAGCAGCTACTACATCTCAAGAACAAACAACTACATCACCAAGGATTAATTGCAAAAGCAGCGCTTCAGAAGCACCCGTCATAACTAGCAGTGATCAACCGACTACAAGATGTTCAAGATTCGGAAGAACCATCAAAACAGTCGACAGACTAGATCTATAGCTCAGCACAGTCAATGTAATCAAATCGTCTTCTCTAAAGAAGGGAAGATGTAACGTATATGCGACCTAATGTCGATTCTCATAATATTAATCTTTGCTGACCACTCTACGAAACATACTCTATGACTGCCCCGCCATATATAACTCCGCCGTTGCCGGTCCCAAGCCCGGATGAGAAAGGAGGAGGGTTGGTATGGAGGAAAACAACCCAACCATAAAAGAAACAACGCCGAAAATCGGGCGGCGGTCAATTAACCCGATCCCTCTGACACCTGTTGGAGAGTGGCTCACAGAGACCATGAGGACTTAAATAACCTCTAAAATTCTGCAGTGGAAGGATCTGGGTACCCNAATACCTACAAGTGAAAATAATCTTAAACCAAAGATAGTTCAAGGGGTCACATCTGAACTAAAGTACCTACGAAACAAACAAGCCAACCATAGCAACAAGCAACGTAAGGAGCCAACCAATTATGAACTCGACGACAGAATCAGACACAAAGTCGGTCATCGTCAATGGGAAGGAGCGAGAGTGATAGAAAAACCTAATGATCACCCGAGATCCATTATCATTAAAACCGACAAAGGACAAATATTCAGAAGAAACATTGGACACATACACAATACACTATCAGACCTATCAATTGGCAGCAAAGAAGCGGTTCCGGAAACAGNTCACGAGACACTAACCATAAAGCTTGGTGAGGATGTGTTGAAGCAGGTGGATAAATTTCGCTATCTGGGGAACACTTTAACATCCAAGTGTGACCTTGATGATGAGATCAATAGCAGGGTCGGTGCCGCTGCTGCAGCATTTGGAAAGCTATATTCCAAGGTCTTCTGCTCACACGACCTTAAGTTGGCCACTAAAATCTCAGTTTACATGGCAATTGTGCTGCCAAGCCTCTTATACTCCTCCGAGTCGTGGTGTGTCTACCGCCGCCACATTCGCACTCTGGATCGCTTCCACCTTAAATGCCTTCGTGCCATCATGAAAATCAGATGGTCTGATAGAGTGCGAAATACCGAAGTCTTGCGACGTGCCAATGTTGGTGGCATTGAGACCTATTTAATGCGTCGGCAGCTTCGATGGTGCGGTCATGTATCACGCATGACAGAGGAAAGAGTGGCGAAGCGCATCTTCTTCTCTGAATTGCAGGATGGCAAGCGAAAGCATGGCAGACAACTCCTGCGGTACAAGGATGTCGTGAAACGATACATGAAGAGATGTGATATAGAGCCCTCTCAATGGGAGCGCTTGGCAGCACAGCGGCCAGAATGGCGCAAGATGGTGAATAGCAAAGTACGCGAGTTCGAGGATCAGCGTAAAGCTGACCTTGATTACAAACGCGACCAGTTGAAGGCCCGCCCACCTGCTGCCATAGCCTATAATTATGAGAACGGCGTGCTTACGTGCCCTCAATGCGCAAGGAGTTTTGCCGCAAAGATAGGCTATATAAGCTATCTTCGAGCGCACGAGCGCCAAATCGACGGATAGGAGTCAAAGTGGTCGCCATGGCCGAAATCGGTCGGATGAATCATCATCATTTTATTAATTCTCCATACAAATTTCATTGTCCACTTTATTTCCCGGTTTGAACTATTCTTGGATAGTATTTAAATACTGTTCATTTTTAATTTAATTATGTGAAGCAATAAGTGTGGATAAATTTTTAACTGAATGAATATGATTAGAGAATATTTTAGAAATATAAACGTTCTTAAGGATTTTTTTCTAGGTAACTAACCTATAACAAAGGAATCCGATATTATTTAAAGTTTATATAATAACTGTGCTGGTAACTATTTCCCTTGTGATCGAAAGGTACCTAACTAATATTATATTAATCTATGAGAACTCAAATTCATAGGTGATTCATTATATTAAAAGTCAAAAAGTCAACGTCCGTCTGGTGTAGTGGTGGGTGACATGGTCACTACACTAGGGGGTCGCGGGTTCGAATCCCGCCAAGGGGAAGATATTTGTATGATAAATATAAATGTCTTTTCTAGGGTTATGGATGTATATTAAATATAAATGTATGTGTATAATAAAAATCTTACATTTATTTCCGTTATCTGGTACCTGTAACACAAGCTCTTTACGAACTTATCACGGGACCAGTTAACGTGGCGTAATTGTTAGTAAAATATTTATTTATTTATTTATTTAATATGACTCAAATTCAAGTTTAAATTCCATAGCTGAATTTTTTGTTACCTTCCATTTATTCGATCAATTGTACTATTTGTTCCATTGACTTTTATATTTTTTTGATTTTATCCGTAATTAATTTTTATAGATTTTTAATTGTTATTACGTATGCATTGAATCACGTGATCTTAATATATCAAGAAAATTATGCACTATTGTGCATAGTTTTCTTGGGATAAATTATGCCGAGCTGGTATATCGACAAGTCAACTGCAAAATTTCAATATATTATAAGTAATTAAATTATATAATAAATTTTAGATACACATTTTTACAACGCAGTAAGGGCTAATTAAAAGATTTTATAAATGAAATTTGTTACGTTGCGTTCTTCCGATAGTTGAAGATCGTTGTTTAAAGTTTTGAAAACATTCTTTTTTAACCTCTTAAATTGTCTTGTACTAATTTAACTACACAAGTAATAAATATCGCCTTTGTAAGGTAACTTATAATTCGTAATTAATAAATTATTTTATTAGTCCCGTTCAAATATAATTTACTTAATATTTTTGTTAATTCGTACGTAATACGTAATTTTAAAGTAACTGTTAATAAATATATTATATTTTTTAGACATTTTTTACAGATATTTAAAAACGTGTTACGTGTTCCGATATCTCATCTTTAACGGTCATTGCTACTCAAAAAGTTATTTGTTCCAGATTGGCTATGTTTTTTATAGAATTGTTTTTTGATCTGTAAAGTTTATGGAAATAGGCACTTCGCTGGTCGATTCGGGTGGCAAGCATGTAGCCCTCCCACTATCACTCATCCATTAATGTCATCAAACAGAATTAACATCGAGATTGAGTGCGTTAATACGGCAACGAATATTATTATTACTATTTAGATTGCGGCGAGTGTTCCCGCGAAACATAATTTTCGATTGAGTAAGTACCTACCGTCTGTAATCTCTAATACAAATGTCATAATCATAGCCTTTGTCCGGCCAGATATGCACTAGCATCCTACATACATTAGCGCCGATGCAAGTCTTCCGATCTGAAGGAATCTCGAGCGAGGATCGACATGTCCATATAATTGAGATTTCGACCTCGTGTCTTTTTTGTATTATTAGGATAGCTGGACGAGCTCAAGGCTCACCTATTATATGCTCATCGGAGCCCATAAACAGCCATAACGTAGATACCGCCACCCAACCGAGTTCCACGCCTCAGTTTTACGGTACAACAGCTGTCACGTTTCAAACCGAAACGTATTGCTGCTTCACGGCAGTAATAGGCAGGGTGTTTGTACCCAGCCGTGTGAACTCACAAGATGCCCCACCCCCAGTGACCAGTAAGGCCTCTTTTTTTTCCTACCTATTCTAGAGACCTCGAGGGGTCATACTAGATTCACCGGGCCAGTAGGTGAGCTCACAGGGCTCTAGCTTGTGGACGTTGATAACACTAGCCCTAGCCAGAGCAGTGCTTCGCAGATGAGGTCTTAAAGTGGGCACCATTTAGCATTCCGTAGATTATACCTACGCCTTATTTGCGTTAGGTATCTATCTAGCGCAAAAAGTGGCAATCATATTTTAAATTCTTAATGAAAAAGCTCTTTCGCAACAAGAGTATGTGGCTCCGTACAATCCATCAGTATGCCCTCAAATTTATATTTTCTGATGGGTAATCATGACCAGAATTTAGTAATTTACAGTGTTTCAGAGACTAATTTTTACTGCATCCTGCAGTAATAATATTCGCATATTGAGATTGGTTCTTGATAAACATCCTAAGCGTAATCTAATTAGAGTCGTAATTTCAATCAAAAAGCAGCCGCCGCGCTCTCTTGACTGACCAGAATTTTGATTTATTAGAACACTAACATTCATTGTGTGCACGGGCTCTTAGCATCACAAGACTTTTATGACTTAAGCTTCGCTGACCTTAATAGCTTCAGGCCATTTGCAAAGATCATTACGACGACCGCGACCGTTTTCAAACAAAAGGCTTACTGGAATCTATGAAATTTACGATGGCTCTTCCATCTTACGAATACGCAATTAAATAGAGATTTTCTTGTACAAATAAGCCTCGCATTGGCATCTCGGTGCGGTCGTAATTGTTAAGCATCGCTCTCGTTATGCTAATATCGGATAATGGTTTTGCATGAAACGTTTTAAAATTAATGCTATTTCCGGATGTTTTTTCTATTGTTTGTTGGTTAAATAGAAGTCATTTGTTTGCATAGTGTGGATTAAATTGTGGTTCGCCCGGTAACAAAATATACTGGTGGTATATACTTTTTAATATACTTTTTACTGGTGGTAGGACCTCTTGTGAGTTCGCACGGGTAGGTACCACCGCTCTGCCTATTTTTGCCGTGAAGCAGTAATACGTTTCGGTTTGAAGCAGGGGGCAGCCGTTGTAACTACATTGAGACCTTGGAACTTATGTTTCAAGGTGGGTGGCGCATTTACATTGTAGATGGGCTTCAGTGACCACTTAGCACCAGGTGGGTTGTAAGCTCGTCCACCGAAAAAGTAATAAAAAAAAAACGAGTATCTGCTTGAATTTTTTTACTAGCGCTGCTAGACCTGGTAACACAAGACTTAACTGCAACATTAGGGCCTCATGCTCCTCCATATTCTATGGTTGCGCGTTGGTGTGCTGAGTTCAAGCGAAGAAAAACTTTCATTGACGACGACCCCGCACGGGACACCATACATCGGTATTGATTGAATAAATTATTTAAAAAGTTGAAAATATTTTGTTGGTGGAACGTCGTGTTACTTACTGTTTGTTTTATAGCAGAAGAATCGAAGTTTTTATAGAGGAAGGGTCAATAATATACAAAACCATTTAGGTATGAAAAACGTCAGCGCGCTAGATTCCCAGAATGTTTTCTGACGGTTAGAAACAAACAAGGTTGAGAATGCCTTGGTTTTCCTCCCACTGCCGTCTCCCTAAAAAATTTATCTCAGCTATAATCCGTCTTAGACTTGGCCATGTTTGCTCCCCTGTTTTTCTTGCCAATAGAGTCCGTGACCATTCTGTTTGTGAGCCCGAATCACATTTTCTTCGACTGCCCCAATATCGTATCCCCTCTTTATGATATCCTTCTAAATGACATTCCCCGGCCCATTAATATTAATTCTTTATTAACTTTAGTCTATTCTAAACATGTGAATTCTGTGTAAATATTTATCTGCTAATTATATTTATCTTTAAAGTAGTTAGTGTAACATATACTTGTTTGTGCTGCTCTTAAAATCACAGATTCGCGTATGGACAAACTGACCAAGTTTATTTGTATTTAGATTTAGTAATTTTTTTCCTGTCTAAGCACCTGTTCTTTTTGTATATACTTTGACATTGGCAAAATCAATACCAAAGGCGTTGGAGCCAAGTTACAACAAGATTTTGACCAATTTTTGGCTCGATGCGTAACTATAGAAGAAATATGGCTTCACTATTATATGACCCGGAAACGAAAAAAAAATCCATGACTTGAAAGAGACCGTCATCTCCAATTCCAAAGAAATTTAAGGCGATCCCCACCGCCGGTAAGATTATGGTCCGTTTTTACTGGGACGGTGAATGGGGTGGTAATGATCGATTACATTCGAGCGAATACCTTCCTTAATCATGGAGCCGCTATTATGGGGACATGACAAATAAAAGGGTCGCGTTAGGTAATACGCTAGTAACAGCATAGAAAACTTGCTAAAGTTGTTTTGTTAAACATTAAAGTTGTTGTTTTTGTTTGTTTTACCAAGATAAAGTCCCCACGCACAAATCCAGAGCCGCGAAAGTTGCCATTCAAGGCATCGAATTGATAGAACTCCCTTGATATTCAACGGGTTTCACTCATAGATATTTCTACCTAGTTCTGCGGTGAAAGAAACATCTCAAGGGCCATAAATTTGAATACTGCGTCATCAGTCGCCTTGGTATACGTTAAGGGATCGAGAAGAAGATTTTTTAAAAGGCTTTGTTTTAGTTTTAGAAAAAAATATTTACAAAGAGTATACACCTGAAAGGTGACTACATCTAAAAGTAAATAGCATTTTATAAAAGATAATTGTGTCATATGCGTTACAACTTTTTAATGAACACCCATAATAAATATAAAATTGTAAAATTTATGACAAAAGTATATTACGCGGTTTTAACTATTAGAACAGCCTAACAATAGCTTCTATCACCAGTAGAACAATCTTTTCAATCGATTTTAGGAAATTCTTGGTTGTGTCTCAAAGCTATGGTTTAATAACGTGAATGCAAATTGCTTTGCACGACGATTGGCCTCTGTCAATATTGATTTCGGGATCCCGCAAGATGTCCACCACCAGCCAAGTACATACCTCTAATACAGCTCTGTTTGGAGTTCGACTATACGATATAAGCAACGATATACCTGTTTATTAAGCTTAGCTAAGTTAAGCCAGTTAAGCGTCAGACCGCCTGGATATATATAACAGAAATGCATAATTTATTTATTATTGATTAATGTATTATATATAGCTGGTGCTGGAGAAGGATGCTTCGTATATCTTGGACTAAGCATCGCACCAACACCTCGATCCTAAAAGAACTAAATATCTCTCAAAGGTTGTCGTCAACAGTGCAATCCAAGATTCTTCGATATTTTGGACAGGTATCGCGACGGTCAGCAGAGTATATCGAGATACTTGTTGTTCAGGGTAGGGTCGATGGTAAGAGATCTCGTGGACGAATCCCCATGCGCTGGACTGATCAGGTGGAAGACCTTACTGTAACCCCACTTAACGAGTGCGTGCTCCAGGCCTCGGTTCGCAAACTATGGAAAACATCTGTCAAGGCTTTCATAAACAAGAATTCCACATGACCACGACTGCTCTGCCAAGAGCAACCGACTATGATGATCATTATAGTTTAAAAACTAAAAGAACAAATTGTTTTTTTTTACCCTGTATATACCTACTGGTCGGTACTACCACAAGGCTGTCCGCTATCTGCTTCTAACGCATTTTCACGTACTTCGGTCACATCGCTTGTAGAGATCCCGATAACTCAGATAAACTGATGGTCAGGTTGACGGGAGAAGATCACGCGGACGCTGACCTACCCGCTGGTCTGATGTAGTAAAGACGCTCACCGGCCTGCCAATAACCGAGGCTATGAAGGCCGCCGAGGAGAGGAGCATGTGGGGAAGCATAGTGCATCGAGTGGTCAACATTTCAAACTAGACACGACCCTCAGCAATGAAGAGATTGACTCAGAAATAAAGAAGAGATATACATATTAATTGTATTATCTATGGACTAGCTTTTGCCCGCGACTTCGTCCGCGTGGAATAATTCACAAATACATAATACTTTATTTTAGAACAAATTTGGTTAACATAAAAAACGTTATAGTGAGCCAACCTTAACATATAGACATGTCCTTCTTCAAACGAGGCTTGTGGAGAGTATCAAGCGGTAGGCAGCGGCTTGGCTCTGCCCTGGTAGTGCTGAAGTCCATGGGCGACGGTGACCACTCACCATCAGGTGGGCCGTATGCTCGTCTGCCTACAAGGCAATAAAAAAAAATGCGGTCGCGGGTTTTTTTTTAGATCTTTTAAAGGGAAACAATACATTATTTTAGCGAAACTTTAACCGTTTCTGCAGCGCACGCAGCGGAAGCTCTCAAAAGGGAAAAAAACCCCGATTTTGAAACATTCTTTATTGGTGCTCCGCTTTTATGGGTCTTAACGTGATGTTACATAGTCTATAGCCTCCCTCAGTAAATGGGCTATCTAACACTGAAAGAATTTTTGAAATCGGACCAGTAGTTCCTGAGATTAGCGCGTTCAAACAAACAAACTGTTCAGCTTTATAATATGAGCATAGATATACTGTTCAGGATATCAGAGCGAATTTAGAAAGAAATTTGATATCGCGTACGTGATATGACATTCAAAGATTCCGTTCGTTACAAACAAAGAGATATACAAGATATATTCGTACCAAGCTAATGAAAGCGTGCTTAAAATAAACTGATCCTTTTCAAAACAGCATTGTTTTTTTTATTATAAAAAATAACTAATAGAAAGCATTAAGGATTTAATTCGATGAAGATAATATCAAGTCCATGTATACACATAATAATATAATATAAATTACGGCATGATAATGTCTGTTGATAAAGTTCCCTATATTCCAACAAGATGTATCGTCCTTTGGGCTTTTACGTACCTACATCCTATCATCTATGAAACTACGTTGTTTGAGGTATTTATTTGCGTTTCTCAACCAAACTAATGGTCCCGCAGTAGTCGAAATTCGACTATAATTAATATAAATTCTATTTATAAACATTACGAGTATTATGGTTCTATTGTCAAACACTATTAGACTTCTTTAATATAATCACAGATTTCGCTAAAACTACACTATAGATAGAAAATAGGTATTAAAGACAAACAATATTAATCTATTCTCAATCTGTCCACAGACTTTCAACAATAACAAAAGTTTGACAATAAACGCTGAGTATATATATGTGTATATGTGTTGTGTCAAACACATGGTAATGTGGGTAATGTTTTCTTTATTGATATCACGATTTTTTTATGCATAATTAAAAAAAAAATAACATTCTGCACTCCTTCTCTATATTATCTATAAGTGTGGGAAATTTGATACACCTCCGTCCGCGCAATTTTCGTAAAAAGGGATACAAAGTTTTTGCTTCACGTATTATTAAATAGATGAGATGCTATTTCATTAAAAAAAGGTTTGGTTTTGTTGTTTCTTGTTAGAACTGAGAAGCGAGCAGTTTTGCATTGGTCACCCTGATATACCTACTTCTTTCAGCTCGACGAATTTTCGAAGGTCATCTTAATTCTAACATTAATATAAATCTATATCTATAATTATTATTATTCTAAGTATTAAGGTTAAAGTCTAAGAACCGGCCATTGGAATCTTATTATTCGAACCGATCTGGGTTACGAATTCCTATTAGCACGGACTTAAGACATGTCAAAAAAAGTTTCTTCGGTTTTCACCGAGTTCTAGCACCTAATTAAATTCTTACGTTAAATCTCGGGTTATTATTGTCGTTAAGTACTTATAATTAAATGTTTCAATGATTGACCTAAATTTCAAATTGCAGCAGCACTGCAGTTTTATGCAGCGACTCAGCTAATCCACCATTATTGCTAATGTCAATGTGCCGTTTATTCAATTGTCTTCTAGCTAAAAAAAAGATGTGTGGTGTAGGGATGTAAACCGGTTCGAAGAAAACCGGAGAAAAACCGGTTTTTATACATACCGATAAATACCGGTTTTTATTTAAGAATACCGGTTTTTTACGCTTTACATTCACAGTTCACACCAGTGCTACCAGATCAAATATACAAGCTACAAATATTAAAAAAACCGTGTTTCAGAATCAAATTGCCGTGCATTACATTTAAAAACTACAGTGCAATAACCACAATATGGTTGGTAGACTTTTAGCGTACGAAATGAGGACCGTGACCCAAATACCCACATATCTGCACCTAACACTCAGAAATGGCTTTCGCCAACCACAGCACATGTTGTCTGCAAAAGAGATGGTGCATCGTGAACTGGGGAATCTTCTTGAAGAATTTTCAACTCTCGGTTTATCATCGGAACAGCCAGAAAAAACCACAAACAATTTTAAAAAGCCTGGTATTCTGGATTTTTTGCGTTCGCGAAAACGGCATATTCCGAACGCCACGGCGGCCGCAGTGAATATAGTGCGAATGTATATTGAGACTGAAGCCGCCACAGTAAACCACACCGAAATTGCTGGCACGTGCTAACATCCAGAAGGAGCAGGCTTCTGAATGACGCAGTGGACCAACTATGCCTCTTACATCAAAATTTTGGTTTAATACAATAGTATTAAATCAAAAATAAAAAGCTTTTTANATATTCCGAACGCCACGGCGGCCGCAGTGAATATAGTGCGAATGTATATTGAGACTGAAGCCGCCACAGTAAACCACACCGAAATTGCTGGCACGTGCTAACATCCAGAAGGAGCAGGCTTCTGAATGACGCAGTGGACCAACTATGCCTCTTACATCAAAATTTTGGTTTAATACAATAGTATTAAATCAAAAATAAAAAGCTTTTTATTATTGGATAATATATATGATCTTTAAAAGCCTATATAAAATATGCTCACCCAATTAATTGTATGAAGAAAACTCTTCGTTTGTACGTAAATTTGTTTTATTTAAGGATTATTTAGCCTTTATGGAAAAAACCTAAAAATACCTAAAAAAACCGGTTTTTTGAGAAAAAAACCGGTAATAAACCGGAGCCAGAAATTGTAATCGGTTCACATCGCTAGTGTGGTGTTGTGGGACATCGGATAGGAACGAAGTTCCTTATTATAAAAACATGAATTTTACGTTCTATGTTCTATTTGAGGTATAAAGAAAATAATTATTCGGGTATACATTTTTCATTATATTTTTTTTTTATAAAAATAAAAATAATCGCAAGGGTCAACCACTCCGGAGTGCAATGGAGCAACCTCGCCCTGGGGAACCACCTGCATGTTCACGGTGTCCTCTATGCCAGGTAAGTATGAATTAGCAAAGAAATACGAGAACGTCTATCAACTGTGTAACATCTCGTCACCGCGATTCAGGAATTCTTGAGTTTGCGTGCAGCGACATCTGTTGATAACAAACTAAATAGAAAAAATCTTACGTTACGGACGTTTTTTCCCGGTTAGGGTACCCCTCCGCATCGTCCCATGAGAAACTTCGTTCCAAAAAAGCTGACATATTTTTAAAGTTCCATGCACGAAATTTTCGGCAAGAACGTGAGAAGCGAAGTGTCTGTGTTTTTCAGCATAGTCCGTTACTCTTGATAGAGCATACGTGGTCATGTGGAATCCTTGTTTACTAAAGCCTTTACAGTTTTTCTCCATAGTTCACAAACTGAGTCTTGGTGCACGCATTCGTTAAGTGGGGTTTTGGTTAGGATTTTCATCTTATTTTATGATTTTCTTCAAGTTTAAACGTCTAATAATGTAATGGTGGCTTATTGTCCCTTTAGCACCCGTGTGAAAAATGCCACAAACCCACTGAATGTGACTTCTCGGGTTCTTCCAAAAAGTTTACTGACGTCTCCATATTATGTATAACTTAATTGAGCTTTTATTTCATCCCATCTTATCTCTTTTAATTTTTTATTCCAATTGATTAGTGTGCTAAAATTATGAACAATCTTATATTTCGCTCGTTTTTATGTTTAATAATTTAAGATTTTTATAAGCTCGATAATGGCAACAATGGCATCGCAAGAAGCCAATTGCCATACTTAACAAAATAAGAAGGAGATCCAAGGACTGAATTACTAACCAATTCGATTGTCTCTCCATTAATACAATTCATTCGCAAGTCATCGTGACTTGCAGAAGACAATACTTGGTCATTTGCTTGGATCCTGCGATTTGACTGTACTTGTCTACAGATCGGTGATTTTAAGGAAATTGGTTCCTAAAACGTGTTGACGTTTTGACATACGACTTTGACGATGAATGACAACTAACTCGAAGTAATAATTGCTAGTGGTGGGGTGCACGGTGAGGCCGCACGGATAGCCGCACGGATACCGGCGTCCTATCTATTTCTGCTGTAAAACCTAAATCAGTACAATTCTACAATCCTAAAATTCCTAGGTACAGTCCCATATTTGATTAATTACCTGCAATAAACATCTCGTCAGGAATCCAAGCATATCCAAGCAACCAACCAAGCGACATTCGCAGAGCGTTTCCGTAAATAATCGCACCATATAACTTTGCATGACGTAAACAATATTTGCACTTAGTTAAGAGTTTCAGATCAAAGGCGTCGGTAATGTCAGACCCGTGTTAATTAACGGAACTATAGTGGCGATACGTGGGCTGTATTTGCGCTGTAAACTGCTTTATCTAAACGATTCTGCGTTGGAGAATGGTGTTAGAATACTGTTTTAGTGCGCGTAGTTTGCAAGTTCGAAGTTTCTGGGTGTTTATAATTACGTAGTCACGGACGAACAAGGAAGGATGTAGTTGATATTTGTATTTTCATAACCGAAATCGTAGAGTTTATATTTTTTACGTAATTATTGAAGTTGGGGCGTGTTGTAAGCCCGCACGGGTTGGTGCGTACTGCCTATTGATGCGTCAATGCAGTCATGCGTTCCAGATTGTAGATTGGTATAGGTGTTAGAGAAAAAGAAATGGTCTTCGATATCATCTCTGTAAACACAACAAAACAATTCGTTTAGAAGAGTCAATTATGTGTTTCATTTAGAACAATTTCGGTACATTTTATTTTTAAATGTGATACAAGTCTACTGTATTGTGTATTCGTTTAAGGACACTCCGTGATGTGTACGATCCGAAAAGATCGGAAGTTGTAAATTGTTCAAACGTATCCGATTATAGGTACTAAGTTTTTTAAATAAGAGGAAAAGTTTGGTTTTCAAATTTTCTAAAACGTGTAGGTAGGTACTTAGCGTGAGTAAGCTGTTTTTTTTCTTCCTACCTATGCTGATAGCCTTGGGAGGCTATTTCAGTTTCACTTAAACATGTAGTGAGCTCATGGGGCTCAAATCGGAAGTGTTGCTAACATTGGCCTTAGCAAGAGCAGTGCTTCGCAGAATCTACCACCGGATCGGAAATGCGACCCAATGAGAAGATCCGGCAAGAAACTCAGTAGACAATAAGCTGGTTTGACAATCCTCTTTAAATTCATTAAGCATTTGATCATTGATGAATGTAATAGATCATTTTCATCCATAAAAATAATATAAATAGATTAGATGGTTGAACTAGCTCACGAGGTTTATGGGCCCACTTTATGTCAATGGCTACCGGAACCCATAAATATCTACACTGGCTGCCCTACCCTTCATACCGAAACGCATTACGGTTTACGGCAGAAATAGACAGTAGTCGTCTCACAAGTCTCAGAGGTCGCCCTAACATCAGTAATCACGCATTATAATTTGGTGGGTTTGATTTTTATTACAGGACGTTATTCCTTCACCGTGGAAGTCTATCGTGAACATTTGCTAAGGACGTATTTCACTCGAGAAAATGGTACCGGGCGTTTTATACTTTAGGCCACGACTATTTCAGAAAACTTACAAATGCTACAAACATTAAACATAAAAAAAAAGTGTGTGTGTCCGCTCCGACGCACGACTGGAGTTTACTGGATATAAAAAATTAAACGAAACAATACGAGAAATAGTTCTATATTACGACAACACGATACACTACAGATTATTAACAAAAAATTAACGAGACACAAAACAAACGACTAACAAATATATGAAAATACAATAATGAGAGAAACGCGCGATCAGTACGAGGCTTTGTGGCGGACTGCCGGCGCAGCAGCCCGGCGTCACCTGCGATAACGCATTTCGTGTGACATGCGCAATCAGGCGCATAACGCATTTCGTGTGACATGCTAGTACGATTTTGGTCCCCATAATTTTCATACCCCGGGCCTATATATGTAAATCGATTCTAAAGGAGTAAACTCCAAAAAATAAACGAAACAATACGAGAAATAGTTCTATATTACGACAACACGATACACTACAGATTATTAACAAATTAACGAGACACAAAACAAACGACTAACAAATATATGAAAATACAATAATGAGAGAAACGCGCGATCAGTACGAGGCTTTGTGGCGGACTGCCGGCGCAGCAGCCCGGCGTCACCTGCGATAACGCATTTCGTGTGACATGCGCAATCAGGCGCATAACGCATTTCGTGTGACATGCTAGTACGATTTTGGTCCCCATAATTTTCATACCCCGGGCCTATATATGTAAATCGATTCTAAAGGAGTAAACTCCAAAAAAAGAAAAAAAATATTTATCATTGTTAACACTAATTTCGAACAAACTATTTCACTTAGATCCATAATTCATCGTGATAATATTTTACCGAGAATTTCATTGTGGTTGCCAACATCGACAGACCCAGTCCAGATCAAGCCATGTCGTTGGTATTTCATTCCTCGAACATTCCATGACAATGCTATATACAACTTATAGTTTACTAGCTGTACCCGACCGCTTCGCTGGGCATTTAAAATTAACATTATTATTTCTCACCCCCACAAAGATTCTCATCATTAACACCCCTACAACTTGTGTAGAGAGTCCAACACATTAAGTACCTGTATTTTCTACATGGATATCAAGTTTCAAGTCAATCGGATGCATGGTTCAGCAGTTATAATGGAACATCCGTAAAAACCACTGTAGATTTATATATTAGTAAAGATATATGTAGATGTATGCCCTAGTCGTTTGTGATCACGAAAACTGTAATGATCTTAACACGACAATAGTAATGTGTGCAACATTACTATTGTCGGATATCTGTTTTACTCGTCATAAACACAAACATGCTTATAAGAATGTGTCCAGTTTCCATAATCGCCACACGGTGGATCAGTTGCCACAATGGGTTGGTATTTTTCAAATTACAACGATAAATAAACTTATCCGGCCGCGACGGAACAAGGCAAAGCCGCCGTCGCCAGGAACATATCTTGGAGGATCCCCGGATTCACTCTCGGTGTTTTTAGGCCTCTCAAGCACCGGTCACCGTTCCCGTCGAACTCGTCGATTATGACGAGCGAACTAAACCATAGACATAGCCCACGGAAATTCTCGCCGGATCTTCTCAGTGGGTCGCGATTCCAATCCGGTGGTAGATTCTGCGAAGCACTGCTCTTGCTAAGGCTAGTGTTAGCAAATTCTCTCAGGTTGAGCCCGTGAGCTCACCCACCCGTCCGGACGCAACTGAAAGAGCCCCTTAAGCAACCAGCGAAAAGGTAGAAAAAAAAAAAATGAAATTTCTGGTTAGTAATCTGATAGATGTATGTGCACCTGAACTGGCAGCCGTTGTGACTATACTGAGACTTTAGAACTATATCTCAAGGTGTGTGGCGCATTTACGTTGTAGATGTCTATGGGCTCCAGTAACCACTTAACATCAGGTGGGCTGTGAGCTCGTCCACAAATCTAAGCAATAAAAAAAAAAAAAAAAAAAAAAAAACATATCCTAAATACAATCCAATATACATATAAACACATTTAGTAAAATATCCCTTAGCGACGGAGACTCTAAAAATTCCCACGAAACGTAAATAAACTGAGAGTTTAACAGAAATCTATTTCTCAGTCCACTAATTAAGTTGAGAGCTCGAATGTCTTCAGTACTAGATTTTCCGAAGTTATGTAAATTTTGTTTACAACTTGTAACGAAAGACGCACGCACGAGATTTCGAAACAAGGTTTTTAATGGCTAAGACTATCAGACTATCAGACTAGAAGATATATATATCGATCCATGTATAGTCTATAGTATAAAACAAAGTCGCTTTCTCTGTCCCTATCCCTCCTTATGTATGCTTAAATCTTTAAAACTACACAACAGATTTCGATGCGTTTTTTTTAATAGATAGAGTGATTGAAGAGGAAGGTTTATATGTATAATAACATCCATTAAATTTAGAGAAATCAATAATAAATTACAGTTTCCGAAGCGAAGCGAGG